TAGGGCGCGGGGTAGAACCTGCGGGGCGGGGGGTCAGGGCTGGGGGGGGCACGGCCGGGAGCCCCCGACCCGCCGGGCCCGGGGGGGCCTTGGGGCACCCACCCGTTCTGCAGCGCCGTGGAGGGGTCGTAGGCCAAGGTCACGGTGCCCTGCGAGGGGAAAAAAGGGTCACAAATGTTAATTGAGTCTTTAATTAATTCATTAATTAAATGGTTATTTTTTATTTTAATATTTATATGTATATGCTTATTATTTATATCTCATGTTTCTTTATAGAAATAGTATGAAAGTTGTATTTTCTATAATATAAATGCAATATAAATATATAATGTACAATGTATAACACATAATATATATTATATGTATTATATAGATTATATACAATTATAATGTTATATATAATTACAATATATTGTACATAATATGTAATATATAAAATGCAATATATAATATATAACATACATATGATATACATTATATACAATTACAAAATATTATGTATAATTATAATGTATATAATATATAATATATATAATATACAACATATTACATATTATATAAATTATATATATATTTCTTTACAGAAATAATAAATAAATATGTATTTATATAAATGTAACTACATAAATAAGAATACGAAATATACTACAGTATATTAGAACAAAAAATATATTAGTGGATAAAACTAGAAATATATTACAAAATGAAAGTACATAAGTTTTATATATGTAAGTTATAAACATAAAATATAATATTAAATAATACATTGATTATATACATTTTTTTTACTAAACTAAAATTTTCTAATTCATAAAATACTTCTTCAAAAATTCAATCTAAACACTTCACTTTTGAATAAAACTTGGAACAAACAATAAAATATTTAAAAATACTTTTATTTTATTGCGACCCCTCACCGTGTCGCCGTCCCGGGCCCAGGCTCTGCCGTTGGACACGAACTTGCCCTGGCTCTGCCTCTTCTTCTGCCCCCCATCAGCAAACTTGCAGAGCAGGGGGTCCGGGGGGGCTGGGGAGGGGGTGTCAGTGCTGCCAACCAGCCCCTGCACCCCCAAAATGCCCACCCGGGACCCCCCGAGCCCACCTGGCACCCCCGGGGGGGTCTTGATGAATTTCCCGTTGAAGTGGGTGATGACGGCCTCGCACTTCTCCGTGGATTCCATCCTGGGGGGAGCGGGGCTGGGCCGGGGGCCACGGGGGGGCCCCCCAGTTCCGTGTGCCCCCCCCCAGTTCCGTGTGCCCCCCC